CTTGAGGTTAGGGAAGTTTTCAGATATTATTCTATGAAATAGTTTGTTAATGCCTTTAGTTCGTATTTCCTCTCTTTGTTCTATACCCATGGTTTATAGGTTTGCTCTTTTCATGGTCTCCCAGTTTATCTCGCATGTTCCATTCATATTTTCTTAGCATTTTTTCATGATCTTTTACTGTTTGGTCTAATTCCTCTACTTTGTCTTCCATTTCTATTCTTCAACTTGCTCCACTCTGTTCATTAAGCCTTTGATTTAGATATTTATTTGGATTTTGAGTTGTTTATTTCAGATTGATTATTTTTCAGGGTTTCCATATCTTTATTGATCTCCTCTTTCATATCTTGGATAATCTTCCTAATTTTGTTCATCTGTTTGTATTCTCTTTGAGCTCATTTAATTGTTTATTCACATTCTCTTCAAGGTCAAACAGTAACTTTTGTGTTTCTTTTTTGAAGTCATTAATCATTTTTACTATTTTTTTTGTACTTCATTATTTGATAGGTCTTCCTCTATGCAAGTGTTTAGATAATTAGTGGTGGAATTGGCTTTTGATGGTTAGTGGTTGCTTTGCTGTTTCATTATGTGTTAAGATTTATATATCTGGAGCTGTTTTTGGTTAGGGTTTTAATCCCTACTGGCCCTGTAGTTGGGGTTTTGAGTTTTTTCTCCTGGAGCTCTAGCAGTATTCCTTAGAGAGTGGTATGCTGGAAATGTTACCCCTTGCAGGGTTCTTGTTGTGGTGCAGATTACCTCTTTTTTCCTGTTAGTGAGGGGGGGTGGAGTTCCTGCTCTTTGATGGGGGGCTGGGGGCTCTCCTGCACTTACAATGGGGAGTGCTGGGTCTCTGTGCACTGTGGGAGGCAGGCCCCCTAACACCAGCAGAGTAGGGAATTGCCACTCAGTGGAAGAGCTTGGATTTCTGCCCTTGGATAGAAGAGATGTGACTCTCCTGCAGGGAGGTGCAGTGTGAAGCACTGGACTTCTGTGTACCTTGAGGAAGCAGGGCTTCTGGTGCTGCTTGCAGAGTAGCTGGTTACAGCTTTCCTCCCCTCAGTGGGGAATCTGACATTCTTGCTCTTTGATAGGAGAAGAAGAGCTCTCTTGCTGTCAGGGACAGAGGAGGGTGCTGGGCTTCCATTCTCTGTGGAATGGCAAAGCCTGGTGCTGGAGGTTCACTTGTGTGTGTGGTGGCAAGCTTCTGGTACTGAGTAGCAAGTTAAAGGTACCCATGAGGTAGCAAAGCCAGTGGGCTTGAATCATCTGCTGCCCACAAAGCAGAGGAGGCCCTGGAGTCTATTTGCATTGGGTTGTTGGCTTCCAGGAGTCATGGCAGCAGGGAGGATCCATGCCTTCAGGAAGCAGGATTTTTGGGGCCTGCTTTCTAGGTGTGGACTCCAGGAAGGCAGAACAGTAGTGCTGCAAGCACAGGGGAGCCAAGCCTCTGGGTAGTTGGTGCCCTGGGGTCTACTTGCTGGCACAGGCTTCCAGAAGCCATAGCTGCTGCTGCAGGCACTGGGGAACCAAGCCTGTGGCAGCAGGAGTTCTAAGGCCTGATTGCAGGCATGGGCTTCCAAGAGCACAATACATTGGTTCTGCTGCCAGTGTGGGGGAACGAAGCCTGCAGGCAGCGGAAGCCCTGGGGCCTGCTTGCTGGCATTGGCTACCAGGAGCCAGGGCAGCTAATGCAGTCACAGGAGAAGCAAGCTTGTGGGCTGCTGAGTTCTGGGGCCTGATTACCACCATGGGCATCTGGAAGAGCAGTTCAGTGGCTGAACAGCACAGGGAACCATGGCTGCTGGCTTACACCTTCTGTTACCCATGGAGCAGTGGGAGCTATAAGCCCTACTGACACAGAGGTACCAGTTTCCCTGGCATTTCAGGGTGAAGGTAGCAGGTCGTGTAGTAGTGGGGAGCATGTAGCTCCAAGTTCCTGTGTGTGCCAAGAAGCATGACTTACTGCCGAGAGGCAGATTCATGGAACATGGAGCCAGTTGAAGATTTCAGTTGTGGGGGATCAGGAATGTTGAACTGTGAGTAGTTCTTCCCATTCTTGCTGTGGTTAGTTGCTTCTCTATTTGTGGATTCAGAGAGGGCTTTGCTTTTCACTGGTTATGGTACCCCATGGGTGCCTTTTGGGGTCCCCTGATCTTCCTTTTTCAGGGTACTTAGTCACTGCCGGGCTATAGGGATGTCAACCATCTGCCATCTTTCCCCATCTGCCTTATTTATTTATTTTTTAAAATCCAGTTTAAACATTACCTTTGTCTGGACTGGCCTCAAACTCATGATTCTCTTGAATCTGCCTCTTGAGTAGCTGGGATTATAAGTGTACATCACTGTGTCTGGCTGGTTATTATTATTTTTAATGAAAGGAGGAGGGGAATGAATTAGACAATTGCATTGATTCTCCATTTTTGTCCTGAAACCCTTGGTATCTATTCATAGTGTTTGAAATTGCATTGAATAGCAGAACTAAGTCCTAGCTTGGAATCAGGAAGTTTTAATGGTTTTTGTTAGTGAGTAGAACTAATTAGTTCTAAAATTATTTATTATTACTAACAATAAGCCAAGAAGAGGGACTTGGCTTAAAGTTGGAGATAAAATTATACATAATGCTACACTGATGGAGGTTGCAGTTTGTAGGGGAAATATATAGTGAAATGGACAATGAAGACATGATATGATATATGTTATTAGGGCCAAGTCCAAAGTATAATGGATGCACAAAGTAAGGGAAATTAACCAGTGTTACAAAGATCAAGAACAACATCTTGAGGGAAGTCAGGTCCATACTTCCATTACTTAAACTAATGGTTATACAGATTGGGAGGTTGTCAGTGGAAAGTGGATAGGGCTGAGTATTCCTGTGGAAGACAAAAGTATATGCAGAATCTGGAAGTGAGAGAGAAAACATGGCTAGAATATTTTTGGAGGTATGTATATTTGAGTGGTGACTGAAAGCACAGGAACTGGTGAGCTATGAAGTTTGGGAGGAGCCATGTGAATGACCTTAGGTACTGAATTATGGAACTTAGACTGCATGCATCAGGGGCTCATTACTTTAAGTAGGGCCTCATAGTTATACTTAAAAATATACCTCTCTGTTATGAGGAAGGACTGAAGAAGATTGAGACTCAAACACAGGAGAGGTTAGAGTTTCTGGTAGGACAAAAGAAGAGGGATGGTGATAGTCTGGATGAAGACAGTGTCTGGGAGGAGGTGGGACATGGAGAAAAGTAACTTGACTTGAGAAGCTTAAGGAAGAAGCATTGGTGGAATTTGGGCACTGATTGGACACAACACTGAGAAAAGATAAACATTGGAGGGCCCCTGGGTGCCAGCATGTGGATGCCAAGGTGATGTCATTCAGTTTGAGGAGAAAACCAGAAAGGAACAGGTTTGATTGCCATGGGTCAGGTTTTGAGGGAAAAACAGACTCTGTTTTTCCATTTCACGTGGGAATGCAGATGTGTATGTGATTTATTAGGGAGTTTTCTTAGGATCACTGCTGGGGTAAGAATGAGATGGTAATGGAAGGAGAATTGGGCAAACGGAGAATTACAGTGTGGTTACAACAATTGCCTACATTATTCCCTCAGGCAGGTTCAGAGCTGGAATGACCTTTCAAATTTGTCCTGAGTTGTGAAAAGGGATACAGAACTTTGTACCACTTTTATCAACCCTTTATTGGATATGGTATGCCCCAGGCATTCTTGGGCAAGGTGACTCTATAGCCCTTTGAGCAAGGTGCCTCTGTACAGTCTAAGACAAGTACTAAATCATCAGCTAAGAGCTGTTTGTTTCCACTGTTCCAACAACTTCAGGAATGTATCTTTTGGTCATGGGGGGGCTTTGGGTAGCATACTACTGTGTGTACTGCAGAGGTGTGGTAAGTATGGTGTTAACTATTGTCTCTGGGCTTTCTTCTCCCTGTGTCTAAAAAGAAGGGGTTGGGCCAACTGATTACTAGGATTCTGCGTAATTGAATCATGAGAATCAGAAGACTGTAGAATGAGGAAACTACCAAATCTAATCAACACATTTTTAATAGATACAAAAAGGCAGGGCCTGAGAGGTAAAGTCGTTTTATGAGACCAACAGTGAGTTCATGGGACAGATCTCTTAGAGTGTATGTCTGTGCTTCTGCTTTTCCTGAGAGCTGGGGCTAGAGGGCCCTCATTAAGGCAGGAGAGAGAGCAATCAGGCTTTTACTTCCTTGTTCCTGTTGAGTGACTGGAAAATTTTGTAGACTCACATTGGGGTCACATCAAATTGACATATTGTGCACTTGCTTAAAATGAATCAGCAAGTAAAAGACAGAATCTCAGTGGAATCCAAATTAAAGTTCTGTTTACGCTTTTCTTTGAAATTTTCTACAAGGCCTACTTCTACCCCTGCCCTCTCTATTAAGCCTGTTAAGCTCACTTTTCCAGAGGCAGTCTCTCTAGTGCATTGATATAGCAATTTACTATACTGGCTTATATTTCTTAGCTGTTTCTCAGTGTCTTAAGAACACAAAGGCTAAGGGCACCAATCTTGCATGATCGCAAGGAAAAATAAATGAACCCCAGCTCAATGGAGAGCTGGGGTTCTGATGAATGGAACCTATATGAGCTCCCTTTCATGAAGTTTCTTGTTTTATGGCAGGAGTGTTGGAATCAAAACTACTACTAATTTTCCTCCACATGTAATACAGACAGTTCTACCTTGGTTTAGCCTCTTACCACATAAATTCATTCTACTTCAATGTTGGCAACTGCAACAGTGAAATAATGATTGTCCTTGGTGTGAAAGCAAGGCAAACACAATCAAGATGAGGTCTGACTTGGGAATTCAAGGGCCATCCCCCAAAATATTTCCAGGTCTTACTTTACACAAAGAGATTTGTATTGCTTAGAATCAGAGAATCTTTGTTTCTTTGGGATCTGTTGAGTTGAATACCACCTCTGAGTGGTATTCAGCATGATTGACTGGCCCATGTTTCTGTTTTATTACAGCAAAATGCATTTATGGAGGAAAAGTTCTTGCAGAAGGCCAGAGAATTTTAACCAGAAGCTGCCGGGAATGCCGAGTAAGTTTTAATCTTACGGTTTCTGTCATTTCTTGAGGGTAGGCTTCAGATACAATTTTTGAGTGGGCCATATTGGCCTGGATGGGTACCCAAGGGCTGAACCCACTTTAGTCAGCAAAAGTAGTGAATGGGGAGGACCAAGTCTTTGTCAGTGTGTAATTAGCTTGTGATTAACTGTGGATCAGGTAGCCTGGGAAGAAGCTATTAAGAGAAGTATGTGAGAGAGGGAAGAGAGCTAATAGCTACCATGAGTTAGGGAGGTTGGTGGGTGGCCCTGGGAATGGATTTCAGGTTGGTGTTAGTGGAACCAGTTTGTGATGCTAGCTGTGACAACTCCAACTCTGTGCTTAAATGGGTGCTATAATGCTAGAAAAATGCCCTCTGCCTTCTGCGCATCTTCTCCTATGAAATAAGAATGTAGAACATTAGACTTTATTCAGTAATCATCCAGCAAATGTACATTAAGCAAATGCTATAATCGAGCATTATACTAGATTTTGAGTATATAATAGTGAACAAAACAAAGTGTCTGTCTTTATAGAACTTGAAGTTTAGTGAGAGGGATAGTAAGAAAATAAGTAAATAAACATATAACATAATGACAAATCTTTACTTAAAAATATGAAGTAGGATAAAGGGATAGAGAAGTTTAGGGTGGAGATGGGGATCTGAAAAGGCTTCCTAGAGGATGCAACATTAGAACAAATCCCTTGGTAGCCATACAGCCAAATAGCCATATAGCTGTTTAGGTAAGGAGAATTCAAAACAAAGAAAACAATTGTCAAGGGCTTGAGAAGGGAGCTTATTTGGCATATTAAAGGATTAACAAGAATATGGGGTAGCTGGAATGGACTGAGCAAAGGAAAATGAAACTGTTGGAACAGGCAGGGGTTGGATCATTCAGGGCTGTAAGACAGGGTCTTAACCATTTTGTAGTTTGAGCTTTTTATTTATTCGCAAATCTTTCTCCATCATGACAATTCAATTCAGTTTTTTAATTCATTTATCCCTTCTTTCATTCAAAAATATTTCTTAAGCATCTTCTGTATGCCAGGTGCTATTCTAGGAGAGAAGGATATAAGAGTAAATAATACTTTTTAGTATTTTATGAAATATTTTTAGAGTACCTACTATGTGCCATATACAGAACAAGGAACTGGGATTAGGGATAGAAGAGCTTATGGTTTCCTGAAGTTGCTGCCATGTAATGAGGAAGAGAGGCAGGTGAACTAAGTTATAGTGCAGGATGGTTAGCTTTATGTTACTGGGCAGACCTTCATGCCCAGAAATAACACTAAAAGTCCTTGATTATCTACCAAGGACTTCTTAATGGTGGTGGTTGGTCTACACCAGTAATTGTTCCCTATATGAATGTACATTCCAAGAAAAAGAAATAGCATTTATAAATGTCCAGAGCTTACAGTTTTGTTTTGGGAACACCAAAGAATTTGGTCAAGAGAGTAAAGAGAACTAAAGCTGTAAAGTTACACAGAACAGGTGAGAAAGCACCTATTTTGGACTTCATCTTAGTGGAGATGAGGGTCCTCTGAAGTTGAATGTACATGAGTGTCTTCACAACTTGTATTTTCAAGGGTCACTGTGATTTTAGTGGAGAGTGATTAGAGGAGCAGTAGTTGAATTTTAATAATTGTATGTAAGAAATTATGGGATCCCAACATGAGGCAGTGAAAAGATGAAAAGAGATTGACATCTTCTTGCAAAATCGAATTGAAAGGAGGTGCTGAGTGATTAGGTTTTGGGTGAGGCTGTTGTGGGGAGATGAGGAATACAGTTAATTTCTGTAGATTACTGGCCTGGTCAAAGGGAATCCAGTCTCTAACCTTCTCTGGATAATGTAGGCAGAAATAATGGTTTTATTGGAAGGATGTCAAGGGACTCACTAAAATGTCAGAATGCTAGTCTTAGGAGTAAGCTGGGACCAGGGAGTCCCAGAAGTTTGGAAGCAGGGGCCATAGCTGTATTCTAGTAGGAAGAAGCCTGGCATGTACATCTCTGCTGTGCCCAATGACTTTCAATCATTCCTGCTATCTTTGAAGTCACTTATACAAGAATCAAAGCTGATGAGAGTACTTATGATTAGCAAATCTGGATAATATGACCAAGACCCACCTGTTGTGGGGGGAAAGATTTTTGCCCTTTCAGAAGCCTTTGTGTAGGAATCTATTTACCTGGAGTTGCTAACCCATTCAGTGCATGCAATGGAGAAAGTGTTCCCAAGAAGAAACTGTGGCATCCATACAAGGGGAGACAGACCAAAATGTGGTAAGCACTCTCTTCATTAGGCAAGGATATTGCACTTAATTGAGGCAGGAGGAGGAACATGTTTTCTGGATGAGAAGAGAGTGGAGAACAAATGGAGCCAGTTTTAGACATGTTGAATTTTATCAATAACTATGAAACTAACACCTTAAAACTTAGTAGCTAAAACCAATATTTTATTATCTCTCATGGTTGTGTGGTTGCATGGGATCAGTTCTTACTTGATTTTCATTTGCAGTTGCAATCTTATAGTGGCTGGAGCTGCAATCCTATGAAGGCTTTACATGACTGAATGTCCAAGATGGCTCTTTATTTACATGTCTGGCACCTGAACTAAGATGAATGGAACAGAGATTTCTCTGCCATCTCTCTGACTCTTTCTCTCTCTCTCTCTCTCAAAGTTCAGCCTCTAGACATGGCTACCTCAGGATTTCCTATAGTGTCATACCTTCAGAGATTTCTCACATGGGGAAGCTAGCTTCCCCCAGAATAAACCATCCAAAAGACTATAATATCATTTCCTCTTCATTCTATTCATTACACACAGACAGCCCAAATTTGTCTTAGAGAAGTATAATACAAGGACATTAATATGAGAAGGTATGATTCAATAGGGAGATAGCCATCACTGAAGACCAGCTGTCACAAAATGACTATGTGATACAATTTTCTCCTCTAAAGTATCCATGACCCCACACACATACTTTGATAGAAATTTACTAACTCATTTGGGATAGCTCATTCTGTGGCTGGAAAACATTAGTAATCCGTGAATTCTTTTAATTGGGTGAAAATCTACCTCTCTATAACTTCTACCCAGTGGCCTTCTTTTTTGCCTTTCAGAGGCTAAATGTGAGTCTGTTTACTCCTACAATGTGTTAGTGTGATTGAAAGGTCAAAATCTCATTAATGGGACAAGTCTTTAAATTCTGGAATTTTACCTCGTTGTTAGAAAGGCCCAGAGTTCCTTGTGTTCTTTTCTCTTTATATGGTTCTAGAAAAAGCTAGATTGGAGACATATTTAGATTAGGAAGAGAAAGTGAGAGTTCTTACATTCTCCTGTGTATTTCTCATCCCCCCACCTACTTTGCAACACAACAAAAGATAATTTTAATAGGCAGAACCATCAGTCCTAGAGGACTGTATATATATATATATATATATATATATATATACACACATCTGGAAACACTTGGTGAAAATATACTTCAGACAACAGCTTGTTTCTTATTTAATTGCTGCTGAAGCTTTAAAATGATTCAAGAAAATCAAAACTGATAGCACTCTAGATAGTCTTTCGTCAACTGTGGGTCTTCTTCTGAACCACAGACACAGAAAATTATTTGAGCAATTGTTTCTTCTAGACTCTCAAAGACAGTATGCACAGAGCACCATTTTAGATGCCTAGAAGAGAAGTTAATCCATTACATACAACAGATACTATAGATCATTATGGCTTAAATCTTGGGAACGTCTCCTGGGTGGTGTGAGCTTTCTCTTGCTCCTGGTACTACTGAACCTAACTGGGGCAATGGGAAATACAGAAAGGACAAATGATAGACAGACAGATATGGGGTCAGGTGTGTTGGGCGCTTGGATGGAGACACACAATAGCCTCATTACTTTTTTACTTCTCTTTGCTCTGTTCCTTTTCTCTATCTTTTCTTTAAGGCCTTACTCCTCTACAAAGTCTTTCTTCTTTTCTATTCTTTAAAGTCTCTTTCCTTACACTTGCTCTGTCCCATGTTTTCTTTAATCTCTCTTAAAATCTTTGCCCTCAGACTTGCAGAAAGACAATAGCAGTTGCATCTAAAAACTGCATATGCATAACTCTTAAAGTCTTGGTCCTTAGACTTGCACTGTCCCGTATTCTCCTTAGCTTTTCTTTATCTTAGCTTTTCTAAAGCCTATGTATAAAATTCTCGGTGCAGAAAGCTGCTCTGGTGGAGACACAGCAGCCAGCCACAGTGGCAGCCAATCAAAACTCCTCACCAAAAAACCTTGTGTCCTCCTTCAGGAAGTCTTTTATATCCAGTGGTAAACAAGGAGATGGAGCAACGGTTCTCGGGGAGAGGCCAAGTATTGCTTTTATCAAACACTTCTGTAGCCTGGCAATAATTTTTGACTTGAGGATAAGAGTTTTATGTTATTAGAAATTTATATTCTCTCTTCAACAAAATTAGAGATAAGGGCAAAATAGTTTCTGCTGGGTAGTGAGGGGGTGGGGGGGGTGGTGTGGTGGTAAGGGGGTGGGGGCAGGAGGGAGAAATGACCCAAGCCTTGTATGCACATATGAATAATAAAACAATAAAAAAAAAAAGAAATTCAAAGTGAAGCACTGTGATTAGTGATTAGTACAGGATTTGAAAGTGCTTAGATTTGACCGATGACATGGAAGCAGTTGCTGTAGGTAAGAAAAAAAATTGGAAGAATTGAATTTCCCACTAACATAGAATATACCTTAATCAGTAAGATCTGGAAATGTTAATCACAGATTATTTCTTACTGGAGATAGTTTTCAAAATAAAGTTTAAAAAGGTTTGTGTCTAATTATGTAGCTGGACTAAATGGATTTAGCAGTACTTATGTAACAGTAATCACAGTTCACATTATTTTGAAATTCATACAAAAGGTTTGTCTCCATCTGAACATTTGGAATTATGATCTTACTCATTAAATATGTTAAAGGTTGATTAGAGTTGTTGACTGATTTAATCTGTAGTCAAAGCATGCCCCTTTTATAAAAAGAGAACCTTTCATGAGTGTTTTTTTTTTTTAAACTCTCTGTAGTATTTTCAGCATTGTTTTGTTTTACAAAAGCAAGTAGATACTCATGTTGCAACACTTGGAATTTAGAGGAAAAAAGTGTAAAGAAGAAAATGGAAACCATTCCAGAATCTTATCACCTAGAGATAATCTCTTTTACCATTTTGATTTTTTGATGGTGAGAGTGAAATTTATCTTAATTGTCTTAGTTTAGCTTCTCCCGGAAGCAAACCCTGAGCTAAGGATTTCAGTATAAGTGATTCATTAAGAGAGGGCCCTCAAGAGAAACCAGTCAGACTATGGGATGTGGGGAATGTAGCATAGGGAAAGAGAAGAAACTAAGCAAAGGTTCAATTTCAGGTGAAAGGTCAGACATACTCTGGTCCTACCAGGAGTTCTGGAACATAAATTATACTCCATAGATTGTCCTTTCTCTAGGTAAGGAACATCCCTTGTTATGTAATCATTGACTCTGGGGCCATGGGCATGGGGATTGTAGAACTTGCAGGTACCTTTTGGCTCTCTGCAGGAACAAAATGGTCCCAGGGGCCAAATACAAGCCTCTGAGGGTGACAGAAATGAGTCATTAGTAATAAAGCATTCAGAAGTTGACAGTAAGCACATAGAATAGATGAAAAGAATTTTATCCATGGCAGCGTCTGCCATTCTTAATTATGCCAGGAAGCAGCAGATCAGAATAAATATATTAATGTTGAAGGACAGTATTAGAGTTAATAATGGTAAGTAATTGAGCATTTTCCTTTACATTTAGTGTATGCTCTTAATGGTTGGGTTATTAACTTCCATTGACTTGCAATAATTGGTTTGATCCCTTGTGGGAGAGAGTAAAGTATGTCAGGTATGGACATTAGACTTAGGCACTGGTGCTAACTCTTGAGGCTACATGCTGCCCAGCTTGGCTAGGAGTGAGGAATGAGAACGAAATCTAGTAGCAAATGGTGGTTGAGAGTAAGTAGCAGGATCAATTCTCAGATCTTAGGGCCAGTTCTAAGATAGAATGAGAAGAAAAGTAAAAGGTTAAGAAATAAAGAGTAAAGTAGAAGAAGAAAAGATATGACAAAGAGTGCCAGATGTTGGCTTGTCTGGACAGGAAATTATTAGAAAGGAGAGGAAGTTATGGTGCAAATAATTTACCTAAAAGATGAGCAGTTGGAAATTTATAGTCAATGATTAATGCTGTGACTATGTTCACATTTAAGGAGCTGCCAAACCAGAGAACAGGGACAGGGATGGGGATGGCTTTTACAAATTGAAAACAAAGTATCTGCTCCATCTGTTCTGGCTGACCAGCTCTACCCTATTCTCCCACCTGGGTTTGGAACTGCCTTTTGGCCTTAAATGAGACTTCTCTTCTTCAGTTTGCTTCTTGGTTGTCTTAAACATCCATGTGAAGAATGGGAAAGAAAAATGAAATGTTTTAGATAAAACAAGGGCCTCTACAACTTTTTTAAAGATAGCAATTAATGGACTAATTTTAAAAATTTAACATAAAACCAAATACAAGTGCTAAAAAGGCCAACAAAGAAGACCTTAGATGACATGAGGTCATAAAGATCTAGGTTCTGAATATTTAACATTTTGATGTAAGATATTTTATTTAAATCTAGGGAAAACCTTGTGTTCATGTCATTGACCTTCTTTCAATTCACTTGTATCTGCATACCTTGGCTCCTATCTATTTTCTCTGGCAGTAAGTTCTCTTCTTTATTTCATTACTGAAGTTCCCCCTAATTTGGTATCTTTATAATTTCTCTCCATCTGGGAAGAATTAATTATTGTCCCATGACACATTATAGTGTTTTTATTAGAACCCATCTTTTAGAAATTACTGTACAATATTATGGTTTCTAGTTTAAGAGAGTTTTTTTCTCCTTCCACCCAAATTGTGAGTTTTTCAAGAACAAGGAAGATCCTAGGTACTCAGGGGGCAAGATAAGGAGGATCTCAGGTTGAAGCCAGCCCAGGCAAATATTCACAAGACCCTATCTTGAAAATACCTAACACAAAAAAGGCCTGGCTTAGTGGTTCAAGTGGTAGAGTTCCTGCTAGCAAGCATGAGGCTCTGAGTTCAAAACCCAGTACTGACAAAAAAAAAAAAGGGAAGATATCTTGCTTACTTTAGGGTTTACAATGCTTGCTGCCCACTGAATTGTTGGAACTGACCTACGTGAGCTCATTGTGCATAACTTCCCAATTCTGTTTTCAGTGACAGCATGTTGGTACCTCAAAACCAGCCATTGTTAGAATATTTGCACTGCTAAAATCTGTAAACTTTTACAAATGAAGCCTCTTCACTCTGGAGCCAACTGTTAAAAATTTATCAGCACATCACTGTTATCATCCTTCTGCTCTACAAAAGATACTAAAAAAAAACCTGTTGATATTGAGGCTGTTTTGATATAGAGAGGTCATTTGATTTCTCTTTCAGAAGTCTCATCAAGTTAATTTGTGACTTTATCATTATTAGTGGAATTCCTGAGAGTGTTGTTGTATTATTGTAGCTTATTACAACTGCGGCTATTAACAATGAGCATTATAAGTTTGGATCATTGACTAAACATATGAACATCCTTTTTTTCCTTAATATTTGGCTTCCAGGGAGGAGTTTTAGTAAAAATTACAGAGATGTGCCCTCCTTTGAACTGCTCAGAAAAGGACCACATTCTTCCAGAGAATCAGTGCTGCAGTGTCTGTAGAGGTGAGTCGGTTTGGTGTGGGGCTGTGCTTATGGTGGGGTTGGGGGTGGGTGTGAGGGCTTAATGAATAGTATGATGATAATAATATGAATTCCAAATTCTGCTCTGCTTTGTAGACAATTGCATATCCTATTTACCTTTCTCAGTCATAATCTCTTCAATTGCAAGATGAGGATAATAATAGTATCTACTTCATAAGGCTGCTGTGAAGATTATATGGGGCAATGCATAAGCGCCTAGCATAATGCCCAGCATGTGACAAACATCCAATAAGTGATAGCTCCTATATTAATGCTGATGGTAGTTCCTGCAATAATAACCATTATCATCATTATTACATTTTTCTCATGAGTGGGATTGAGAAGCATTCTTTTTAGCCTGGTCCATGGCCAATTCCCATGTTGAATAAAGAATGACTTATGGTGAATTCTTACTCGTGGAATAGATTTATATGCAATGCTTTCCCACTTCCTTTAAGGTAAAAGCTTCAAATAAGTAATGCTTGATTGCAAATTAATTCTTGGGCAGAAATTTTTGTTTTACTTTCCCTTTTTAGAATTCTCTCTATTCCTAAATTTATTCTTATTTCTTAAAATGCCAGCTCAATTACTGCTTCTCTGAAATTCTCAAGCAGGCAGAATTAGATGAAAAACCTAGTATTTATTCAAAGTCTTAAAAAGCCAATTCAGTTAAACTCATATCTATTATTTTGGCACTATATGTATTTCAAACTCTTTACATTTCTAAATATCCAATAAATTAGATCCTTTTTGGTGGAACTTTGATATTTTTCAGAGTTAAGGATGACACAGCAGCATAGCAGTTTAGCTCAAGTAACCATAGTCTACCTTTTTCAATCTTTTCTTTACCACAGGGTTTGACAATTTTTTTAAATAAAGGACTACAAACTGAATATTTTAACCTCATACCATCAGAAGAGTTCCTGCCCTGGTTTATCTGTTTTTATGACTACAAGCATGTTTGCAGCTGGGATGCTTTAGAAATATCTAAAAATTGAGTGCAATTTTCAAAGGGATGCATTTATTGGTAACCTATAAGAGTGTTAGGTAGGTCTTATAATTTAATGCAAAATCCATCACTTGCTATTTGTTGAGGTGCCAAGTGGGACTCAGTTTATGCAAATCCTCTCTGATTTATGGCTTCATTAGAGCAGAATCATTGATTAGGCCACAGAACTTCAGGAGCAATTTCATTGTTCTGACCCAATTTATAATTGAGCAGGTGCCACTGCTTCTGCTAGCAATTGTCTAGGAAGCATGCCCTTCTTCATCAGTAAAACTGCTGAGAGGTGTCACATCTCGCTGGAAAGCAGATGCATGCAGGGCTTCCATTGGTAGCACTCTTGTGGCTTTTACCAAACCTGACTCAGGTAGGGAAGAGTGAGAGGCAGGAGTAAGACTTCATAAACTTGATCTCAGCCAAGGCCAATCTGTGAAATTGAGAACTTTTTCTTCTTCCTCATACCTGCTTCCTTCTCAATCAGGGCATCTTTTATTTGAAAACTGATGGTTTTCATTGGAAATATGTGTGTATGAGAGTTTGGCTCTGTGGTAACTCTACATTTTGACAGGAACTGGAACATGTGTTAAGAAAGATATAGTTGAGAGGGATTTGGGAGGCAGTGTGTTGAATTAAGCCATTTGGACCTATGAGTTCTTTTGCATTTCTACTATACTATTTTCATCTCACAATTTAGTCACTGGAATGAAGGAAGCATTATTTTTGATTAAGGCTATTTTTTAGTACCACTTACTACCATTACTTCCTCCTTCTGTTGACCCATAGCAGAGAGAATCCCAGATATCAGCCCACTTGTTCACGTGTTTGGGCCTGCTCTGCATATCATGCAATCAAAAAATTAAAGGCATATTTATCTGGGCGGTAGGCTATCTCTTTTTCATAAAACCCTACAATTTAAATGAGGCTTAGTAAAATATCAATCCAGATGTGATCAAAGTTCTATTATCTTGAACTATATTCTCTGTGAATTTTACTATATTTGTCTCAATCCCAATTTATTTTCCAAGAGCACTTTTAGACATAACACAATTGTATCACACAATTTTGTGAGAAATAATTTCCCCCTTTGACTTTTTAAAAAATCTTTTTTACCTGTTCATGTTTTCTGAGTGGAGTCTTATAAGAGGAGTTGGGGGCTGGACAATTACTGTTTTGGCAAGATTTAGAAAGCCCAGAGTCCTCTTTTAAGGCAAATTGTTCAGTTTATCTCCCTTCCTCTTCTTTCTTTCTCTCTAATGAAATGGTGAAAACCAGCAAATTTCTGTGTATAAGAATTTTTAACCTGCTTTGGGAAAGGCTGTGTCTTTTGCTTGTTGGCTTGAGGTTGTCCACAGATTGGCAAGCAGAGCCATGGGGGTCTGATGAGATGAAATACTCAGGGATGAGCACTGTGGTATGATATAGCCACATGGCTTCTGCCATGTGCTAAGGTTATTGATTACAGAAAGCAAAGTGGGTGGTCTTTCAATACTTATGCCAAATGCCCTTCAATTAGCATATTTATCATCTCACCCTGTCTTAGTGTGAGATATTATCCTTTGAGAATATCATTCTTCAGAAATCTAATTTGAAACTTTTCTTGTGCTTGCTTGGGGAATTGCTAAGGTTTATTCTCATTAGGACTCTGCTTAGCCACTTTACCTGGGCATTTGAGAAAACTGCTAGTGAGTGATTTTAGCTCTCTGTCCCCAAATGGATAATTACATAATATCCAAAAGGTTCTCCAAGCTAAATAGAAAAGAAAACGTTTGTTTTAATGATCACATTTTATGATTCTTTAACTGTAGGAGTTAAAGTAGTGATGAAAGATATCTTCCTGCCACATGATGTGCTTATGTTATTTTCATGCCAATGACTTTAAATGACATTAATTTCAGCACCAGATGTTAGACTATGTATTTCATACATGAAATAGTGTGAAAACCCATTTTGTTGAGTTATAACTTGTTAGTTTGATTATGAACTTAATTTTTTAAACTGGGTGATACACATTTTCTTATATGTTTGCTGCCACCCCACTGACTAATCAAGATGAAAGTTACGGAATAGTGCTTTATGCTTAGTTTTTCTTTTTGTAGGAATTAAACTCAGGACCTTACAGTTGAGAATAGCGCATTCTTGTGAATTATTGTATTCAGTGTATCAACTGAACTAGCACCCAGATGAGGTGGCTCAGGTATCTTGCCTGCTCAGATGTTGAGTCACATCAAATGTTATAATTAATTCCCCTTTTCTTTAGAGGACAAAATGAAGGTGACTGGGTAAACAGGTATTTTATCTACAGATCTATTGGTGCAGAATGACCAGGATGACCCTAGGAAAAGAACTACAGAACAGCTTGGAAAGACACATGCAAAAGGAATAAAGGTGATGGGCAATGCTGGAGGGTTACTTTGTAGTTGTTGGAACTCAAGGTCTCAGTCATCAGCAGTACCACCCAGCCTAGCCCTAATCACTGCTGCAGCATTTCTATGATGTCTCAGAAGAGTTTGTGCTGGAAGCATAAAATTTGTTTATGCTCCTCATTACTTTTGAGGTAATGACCATAGCAGGAGCCTGCCCACTTGGAGTGTGAGGTCATTAGATGGACAGGGGAAGCAGGCACTGGAGTGACATCAATGCTCCTTCCTGGAAAGAAGTAATAAAGGTCTGAATGTAGATCTTGCAGAAAAAAGATTGCTCATGAATTTCTGGTGCTCTCAGTTAAAGGTTTGAAAAAAAAAAAAAGCCAATAATCTTGACCATGCATTCTTAGGGCCACTCCATGAAAACACACCAGTCATTTGGCCCATCCCCAAATTCTTGACATATTCCTCAGGGTTTTATTCCCCTTATAATCAGCTCTAATTGTATCTTCAATGTCGCCAATGACTTTGGAGGGTTTCTTTGCATGTTTATGACTTCCAGTGTTAGAAAAAAGTTCTTCACGACATCTGTTCCAAATGTGTTGATCTGTAATTTTAATTCATGCTCACTTGCCTTGTCATCTGGCCTGGACTGAAATTAGTTGAGATTATTTGTACTATTTAAGATTTTATGCTCTTCAATTAAATCCTCCCAAAGAATCTTGCTATCACATGAATCCCTCCTCCCCACCTTCCTCACCATTTTAGGTGAATTTATAATTGAAATGGTTTTGGAAAGGATTTCAGAGAATTTGAGACAAAGAGAGACTTGGAAAAGATGCATTTCATGACAGTGTGAGGTAGTGTGCAAATAGAGGAACTGACTTGTATGAATGGGTCAGATCCCTGCTTATTGATAGATGGGATCTGATCAAAATCCCCACAATCACAAGCTAAGTGGTCTGAGAAGACAGGGCTGTCACAACTGCTGAGACTGGGAGCAGAGTACAGTTAAAGTCTCAGGGAAGAAATTCAGTGGTCATGAAGGTGCTCTCATGGATGAGAGTTAGGGAGTCCCCAGGAGGGGGTACTTTGCTTCAGAGAGTAGACCTGAAACCAAGGCCAGGCTGCTTTGGACAGGAAGGCCCTTAAATATTGACTATTACAGAAAGAACCAATTATTTTCTAAGATAGAGCCTGTGACAGTTTGGAACTCAGTCTCCAACAGGCCTGTCCTGATGGCCTAAATCATCTATTCACATGAGGCAAAAGGAATGTTCTCATCCTTAAGAGCTCAGGTTTCTCTTACTATTTGTATTTTGGCTGTGGAGTATCTAAGCACATCCAGTTCTCATAAAAGATCTTTGGGCCCTATCCCTCCTAATCAGTGCATGGATGAGCTGACTCTGTATATCTGAGGCACACAGAACATGCTATCTTTTGTATACCATTGCTCTTTGTATGAGTTACAAGGCTGGGAAAGTAGCAGTGGATGAAGAGATATTTGCTTTCTGAGATTGAACTTGGAGTAGAGGAATTTGGAGTGCATTTTCAGAATGGCCAAGTACATAATTTCAAAGGCAAACTTGAAATTATAGTATAATATAGTATAGGCA